AGCTCATCTTTCCCAAGATATGGTTTGCCAAGGTGTGATTATCAAAGTAGCAGGATGCCCTGGAGGCATGCATTAGAAAGTACAGATTCCTGGACCCCAGCCCAGTGCTACGCAATCGGATTCTCTGGAATTTGGCCCAGGAATCTGAATATATGACACATTTCCTTGTGCGTCCGCTGCCTGCTTAAGTTTGAGAATAGTGACTACAATCTGCTGCCTTGGTGGCCACTGTTCGACACAGTGCCCCTGATGGCTGTTCTCAGAATCAGCTCCAGGGCTTTCTTTTTTTCTTCTTTTTTTAATATATTTTATTTTTTACACAGAGGAAGGGAGAGGGACAGAGAGTTAGAAACATCGATGAGAGAGAAACATTGATCAGCTGCCTCCTGCACAACCCCTACTGGGGATGTGCCCGCAACCAAGGTACATGCCCTTGACCGGAATCAAACCTGGGACCCTTCAGTTCGCAGGCCGATGCTCTATCCACTGAGCCAAACCGGTTAAGGCTCAGCTCTAGGGTTTTCAACAGGGTGCCTGAAGAGCACACAATTTTGCAAAAGACTGTCCTCGTCAGACTCTTGAATCTAGGCAGCTCTTCTGTCTTATGGGACAAAGCCAGGTTCCTTTTTGCCCTTTCCAATGACCTCAGATACTGGCCACTTGGAAGAGACATCAGGAAATGAAGGACGTTATTAACACTCAGAACAAACTCTGGATCCCGGCCAGGCCTCTGTGGGTTTTTATATCCCTTCCATCAGTTCTGCGGAATTGCTGCCTCCAGGGTACATTCTGCCTTCCAGGACAAACGCACAAGCACCTTTTCTAATAACTCTTCCTTTCGAATGCCATGGCAAGCGGTGCCTCTTTCTGAGCTCATAAACTCTTCCCAGGACTGTGAAACTGCACAACTGTGAACTACCTTCAACTCTCAGGTCCCGGCTAGCTTTATTCTTCCTTGTTTGGAACTACAGTATTAATTCTGAAAGTCTCTTAAAAACAAACCAAAGTGAAACAGCTATAGACATCATGGAATTTTTGTCCACCCACATAGACCAGCTTTGCCAACTAGCCACCAGCTCTGGTATAACCAACAGGAATCTGAAATGCCAAATATGCCAAGAGAATCTACGAAGTGAGGAGCTTAATTTTCTTCTGTGCTTAATGGAAATAAAAGAGATGACGTTAGTGCTAGGGCACAGGATCATGAAGATTTTAGAACTAGAAGAGATCTTGGTTAGTCATTTATTCTAACCCAATCCTGTGATCACGAAAGAAATAGAAATCGGAGAGCATGAGGTCACATAGTTAACGCATAGCAAAGACAGGACTATAGCAAACTGTTCTGGTTCCAGAGCCAGTTTTTTTTTTACTGACTCAGGCTTGATATCTTTTACCCATCACCCCTGTCACTTAGAAAGTACAGATTTGTATTGATTTGTATGGTACCCACTGTCTCTTTTCTCATTTGTCATTCCCATACTCCATGTCAGGAGATCAAGAATGCTTACGTTAATGGTGAACTTATTTTGAGAAAGCTACCCTTAATTCCTTCCTGCCCAACCTTTTTATACACAAACTTTATTATTCGTAAACTTCAGTCATATGGAAATCATATGTCACAAAACTACCATTGAGTCATTTCTTAATTCAACCAATATTTCTTTTTTCTGCCTAATGCCAGGCACAGATGTAATGCAGTCAAGAAAGTAGATGGACGAGGACGAGAAGGCATCCTGCCATGAAGTTTACATTCTAACGGGTAAACACTCAACAAACATGAGAAATTAGTAAAGTCCTATATTAGTAGTGGTGAGTGCTAAGGAGGAAAGGCAGGGGAAGGGAACAGGAAGTGAGGACGTGTGTACAAGGTGGGAGAGGGGCTGCATGTAGACAAGGTGGTCAGAAAAGGCTTCAGTGAGGAGTAAAGGCCACACCGGGGGAACCAAAATATGAGCTATCACCCAGGAGCGTCTTGACATCAGTTCTACAGAGAGCGGCAAAGATCAAATTTGGAAAATGTTGGAAAATGCTGTTTTTAGTAGCCCGGGCGGCAGGAAATGGGAAGGAGGGGAATGGCACAATTAAAAGGTGGCAACCATACTTTCCAGGAAGCCAGGAAGGATTGTTTTAGTACCTGAGGTGAAAAGAGATGCCTGGTGATTAGTGGTTTCATATGAAGAACTTTTCTTAGAATACAGAATTTAGAGAACAGAATTAAGATTGATGAGAGGTATTATTCTGTTAAAGAAGAAATCCAGAGAGCATGAAGTAATGCCACGACTGCTTGGCAAAGAGATATGTGACTTAAAAACTTGATGAAAAGGTTGATAAGTTCAGTCATTTGATTCACCCACATATGTAATTAATTATGCGGATTTGGGCTGAAGTGTGAAATTTATATAGAGTCCATGATAAAGGCCACATTTTTTTGAGAGTTTACTGTGTGCAACAGAGGAACAGAGCTTCAGAGACTCAACGAGAAGCGAGGCACTGTTCTACCTCAGAGGACTTTTCACTGTGCGAAATCCATTTTCTGTGCCTCCTAGACATCCAGCAGGAATACATTTCCCAGCCTCCTTTGCAATTAAATATGGCTTATGGGTGAGTTCTGGCCAATGGGATTTGAGTGGGCATGATGAATGTCCCTTCTAGTTTTGGCCCATAAATCCTAGAGGATTGCAGTGTCTCAAGATGCACAGAGCTGGGGTTCCTAAATCACGACACTGTCAACCAAACATTTGATTAAACTTTATGTCAACAGGATATTTATGTCTGTTGTGTCCTGAGAGTTGAGCCAGCTCATGTAGCCCAACTCATATCACTATTAATTAACAGGTTCATAGAATTTTATAGTTTGCAGAATACTCTCCCATAGCAAATGATGCTGAGAATTACCCTGAGAAATAGGTCATATTTTATTTTTCCCATTTCATAAAACTGAAATTGATGCTTATTGAGTATTGAATTACTTAGTCACGATCATATAGGTAAGACAGGGAGGGCAAAGATTTTAAATCATTGGCTCTCAAACTTACAAAAAATCATTGATATAAGACAAAGCATGAAAATAAATCTAATGCAAGGCATTGGAAAAATATAGACAAAATACTGAGGAGATTCAAAAGAGGAAACTAGTACACTTAGTTGAAGAGACACAATGGGCTCTGGTGGTAGAGGTAAGATTCATGGTGAGTGAGTGCACACTGACAAGAAAAATGGGAGAAGAAACATACAGAAAATTTCTGTAACTTCTGACAGGCAATATGAGTGGTAAACAGAAATAGAAAAGGGTTGGCATTTGTTCTAATGTTTCAAGGGAAGCTGGAGCAAGCAATGCAGTTTTTTGAAGGAAAACAGGAACTGGTAATTCAATACAAATCCAAAAAATATTTATTGAGTGCCTGCCAGATGAAGGGCCTTCCAAAAGTGGACAGAGGATACAGAGAAGAGATAACAAGGGCACAACCCATGCTCTAAATGTGTTTATAATCTATTAGGGGAAATAGTAAAAAATGACTGTAGCACAATGCTAAGATAAACATCAATAAGAAGAGGAACGGGGTTCAAGGGACAGAGAAATAACATGGGTAGGTGGCATGAGGACACAGAAAACATAGGTGAAGCTTCATGGATGAGTTAAAATGTTCATATTGACCTTTGAGGAGGTGCCATCTCTGAAGATGGTATGAATATGTAAATTCCTGAGGGCCACATACAAGTCCAAAGAGAATGGTTTTGTCAATATTTCGAGCAAAGATACTGCTATCAGGATAATTAAGTGACTCCAAACGTGACCATTGTTCAGGGCACAACAAAATGAAATTTCTAATTTGAATATGTTGGCTTAAACCTGGAATCACAAACTTACAGTGATATCATACGTTGTAAATTTCTTTTCCTATTGAAACTGCATGCCTTCCAATGAATTCAGTGACCAGCCCTACAGACCAGAAGGGGGTGTGTGTGAGTGACATTGTGCCAGCAAGAGGCGATGAACAGACAGCTGACTAAGATGCCTTGCCGAAGAAGGACCACCTACCATGAACAGGGCTTCATAATTTTCAATCATTTTCTGCACCACAGCGATGATGGCTGTGCTTTCCTCAGCCCGGGCCGAACTCTGGACGGAGAATTCTTTGTCTGAGGACTTCTGCTTGTGCAGAAGGTTGGGTCCAAATATGGTGGCCAAGTTTAGAGATGTCATTTTGTTCCCCGTGACCTACAGGAACAGAGAATACAAGAACTGTTGTTATTTTTGCTTTTCAAAGGGCTGAGTGGTTCAATAACCCATGGAACCTTTCCTTTCCTTTTCTGTTTTCCTGCAAGGACTACATCACCTCTGGCAGAACTGATGAGAGATACCATCATTTTCCTTTTGCTTCATATCTTGGATTGAAGCTCACGGCACAGTGGCCATTTCAACAGCATACTGAGTAAAATTTTACAACTCTAAGTGATTTGTTGTGAAACTGGTACTATATAAAACTTCTATCCTGTCTGCCCTTTAAAAATATTGGTATCCATCTATCCATTTATCTATCCATCCAACCAGCCACCGTCCGTCTATCCCTTCATCCATCAATCCATCATCTCTCCATGACTCTATCCACTCAGCACCTACCACAGGTTGGGCATTTTTCATGGATTCTAGTTATTGACAAAAATTTCCCACAAGGATCACAGCACAGTCCTTATTTGAAAAGTTCCCATTCTGGAGGGAAAAGACACCAATGATAAGTAGTGAGTACAAAGTATGAAGCTATCAACTCCGGAGGCCGCAGGGACACGCCCAAGAGATGGGGCAGAAGGCAATTTCCCAGGGGTGACAATGCCATATGCAAAGACAGAAACATGTAAAGGCACCTCAGGAAGTGGGGTGTGGCAGAGGGTTCTGAAGGGAAGGCAAGCAAGGGCCAGGGAGAGTCACTGCCGCATGTCCTTTGTGGGCACAACTGGCCTCGGCTGACAACCAGTGGCCTAGGCCCCTGGTCGGCAAACCCATTAGTCAACAGAGCCAAATATCAACAGTACAACAATTGAAATTTCTTTTGAGAGCCCAATTTTTTAAACTTAAACTATATAGGTAGGTACATTGTTATTTACTTCATTAGGGTACTCCTAAGGCTTAGGAAGAGCCACACTCAAGGGGCCAAAGAGCCGCATGTGGCCCGCGAGCCGCAGTTTGCCGACCACGGGTCTAGGCAATTTTTTCTTTTCTTGGTTTTTGAATCCTCACCTAAGGATATTTTTTCATTGATGGAGAGAGTGGAAGAGAGAGGGAGAGACAGAGAGAAACATCGATGTGAGAGAAACACATCGATTGGTTGCCTCCTGCACGTGCCCCTACCAGGGCCCGGCAGGGGAGGAGCCTGCAACTGAGGTACATGCCCTTGACCGGAATCGAATCCAGGATCCTTTAGTCTATAGGCCAACACTCTATCCACTGAGCCAAACTGTCTAGGGCTAGGCAACTTTTTATTTCTCTTGTTGATATTGAAAATCCAGCAATTCCTGCGTAAGTATGGGGACTGGGCTGCTTGGGGAGGGGGGATCTGCACAGTGTTTGAGTGGCAGCTGGGTGCACAGCACAGAATTCGAGTTCTGATTCACAGCCAAGACAAAGCTTCCTGAGGCCCACTCTTGTCCTGTGGAGCCTTGAAGTGGTGGCTACCAGCCCTGCAATCCCAGGGTGGAACATGGGGACATTATTTTTAGAAAGTGAGGCTGTTTTCAGGTTGGCCGCCAAGAAAAATGATTTTACGCGGTAAACACTGGGGATTTTGAAGAAAGTGCCCTTTATGTATGACTGCCGAGTTATTATTTTTTCTTTCTTTTATTTCATTGATATCAAACTTGACAAGTGTTCTATTTATTTTTCATGTTGTTTCCTACAAGTTCACGGCTAAGGATAAAATCAAATATGTGCCGCCCTGGCTGGTTTGGCTCAGTGGATAGAGCGTCGGTCTGTGGACTGAAGGGTCCCAGGTTCAATTCCGGTCAAGGGCATGTACCTTGGTTGCGGGCACATTCCCAGTGGGTGGTGTGCAGGAGGCAGCTGATTGATGTTTTTCTCATCAATGTTTCTAGCTCTCTCTATCCCTCTCCCTTCCTCTCTGTAAAAAATCAATAAAATATATTTTTAAAAAAAATCAAATACGTGCCATTTTCCAGCTCATCTCTCTAGAACTCCGAAGCATTTGGAGTGCGTTCCTTCCCCCTATTAACGTAATATCAGAGCTTTCTCGTTTTTTTTAATATTAACAAATAAAAGATTTTCATTTTTTTCCCCTTTTTTGGCTTAAACCACATAAATTTCTTTCTCACAGATCTGGAGGCTGGGAAGTCCAAGGTCAGGGTGCCAGCTATTGGGTGTCTGGTGAGAGCCCCGGTCCCCGTACACAATGGCTGTCTTCTGGTTGTCTCTCAGATTTTGTTTTCTTGGAAAAGAATGTTTCATACAAGGACAATCCAGAACGCCGTTTCCGCTGTCTCCTTCTCCTGTTGCTATTCTGGGAAAGCAACACAATCTGTCCGTAAACGGCACATGGATTCCAGCTGCAGACCACGCTGCTGTGGTTTGTTAACGCTGTTTTGTGTTTGTTTGACTGTGTTTTTAATTGGAGACTTGTTCATGGCAGCCTCCACCCTCGCTCCCCTGTCTCAGCATGTATCTGGCTATGTCTAGGTCATCGAATGTGCACTAGGGTTTGGTTCATGATTTCATTATTAGCCAGCCAATTCAAGGCAAAATTTTATCTCTGCTAGATAAGCATCCTAGATAATTTCTTTTTTAAAAATATATTTTTATTGATTTCAGAGAGGAAGGGAGGGAGAGAGAGATAGAAACATCAATGATGAGAGAGAATTATTGATCGGCTGCCTCCTGCACGCCCCACACTGGGGATCGAGCCCACAACCTGGGCATGTGCCCTGACTGGGAATCGAACCATGACCTCATGGTTCATAGGTCTATGCTCAACCACTGAGCCACGCCAGACGGGTCCTCCTAGATCATTTCTAATCCTAATATGAACAGCTCACCTTTAGTAAAAGTTTAGCATGTCCGGTCACTGGGAAAGGGATTTCCCAGAGGCCTTTGCAATTCTTCTCTCTAGAACAGTGGTTCTCAACCTTCTGGCCCTTTAATACAGTTCCTCATGTTGTGAGCCAACCATAAAATTATTTTCGTTGCTACTTCGTAACTGTCATGTTGCTACTGTGATGAATCGTCATGTAAATATCTGATCTGCAGGATGGTCTTAGGCGACCCCTGTGAAAGGGTCGTTCGACTCCCAAAGGGGTCGCGACCCACAGGTTGAGAACCGCTGCTCTAGAAGCTGGGGGGGCAGCTGCTGCGTCTGGCCTCTTTTCCAGAAGGGATGTGACGCCTAGAGCCGCGGCCTGGACGTGTTGGGGCTGAGAAGCCAGGCTGCTGGCTTGACTCCAGGGAGCCCCATGCTCTTCATCACGACCCTGCCCCCTTCCCCCCTGCTCACACTCGAGTGGCAGACCCTGTGTAGCACGAGGAGATGAAATCCTGGCTTCAAAGGAGGGCGGGGACCAGGGCGAGGCGAGCGAGGCACTGATCCGGCTGCAGCTCCACAGCCAACCTCCCATTTCCTGGAGGCATGGACCTCCTCAAAGGTCAGCAGTCCTGGCTCGCCTCTGGTGGTTAGGAACTTCTCTTTGCCTCATTAGGCTCTTTGAAAACTAAAGGCCAGTCTCAAACTCTCTCCCCCCAAAAAAGTGTATATTCGCACCACATTTTCCATCAATGCCTGAGGGTTCTTGGCCAACCTGAGAAACCACTGCTCCAGAGGTTTCAGTGATGTTCCGGCAATATTCTTTCTAGAAGAAGTGAAATCTTTCATACTTTTGGAATTTATTTTTTCCCCTAAGGAGCAAAGCAAATAGCAAACTAGACAAAATGGAATAAAACAAACAAACACCAGAGAGAAAAACAACGCAATTCGATCAAATACCACTAGTTTTCCCAAGAAAAGCGCTGGCTGACTAGTGAACAATTTTTCTCATGTCCTTCTTTTAAACATCTTTGAAATCTTCTTGGTTAATGATGCATTGAATTTATGTGCATTTTATAAAGGAGGAAGCTCAAACCTTCCCCCTCAACCGCAACCCCAACTCTGCTTTCCTTCCTCTTCCTTTGTTTTAGAAAATACAAGGTCATGTACAAGGTGCTGGCAGAGCCTGTGGGAGCTGCTAAGCTTTTTCAGTCTCTGGTTCAGTTTTCTTCTATGTTCCAAACCAAAACAACTACCCAACAAACAGATAACACATCTAACACAGACTAACAGACAGGTAAGACAAAAAGCTGAAAACTGCTTTGTTTCTTTTTAAAAAATATATTTTATGGATTTCAGAGAGGAAGGGAGAGGGAGAGAGAGAGATAGAAACATCCATGGCGAGAGAGAATCACTGATCAGCTGCCTCCTGCACGCCCCCTCCTGGGGATCAAGCCCACCACCCGAGCATGTGCCCTGACCGGGATTTAAACCCAGGACCCTTCAGTCCGCAGGCTGACACTTTATCCACTGAGCCACACCGGCCAGGGCAAAACCGCTTTGTTTCTTGACATATTTCCCAATTTAATTCCCGCCTCACTGCAGTCTGTTCATTCTGCATTCTCTCCCAGCTCATGCTGAAACGACTGAAAAAATAATAAACAAAGGGCCTTTCTTGTTCGTCTCCCTCCACTCTTAACTTCTACCAGAAGGAGTTTAGCTAACTCCCATTTCTATGCAGTGCTTCTGTGGTCTGTTTATTCAATTCCTACACACCCTTTACTCAGTTCCTACACACCCTTTTTCTTTAATCCTCACCCAAGGATATTTTTCCATTGGTTTTTTAGAGAGAGTGGAAGAGAGAGGGAAAAACAGAGAGAAACATCGATGTGAGAGAAACACACCAATTGGTTGCCTACTGCACGAGCCCTGACCAGGGCCGGGGAGAAGCCTGCAACCCAGGTACATGCCCTTGATCAGAATCGAACCTGGGACCTTTCAGTCTGCAGGCTGACGCTCTATCCATGGAGCTAAACCGGCTAGGGCCCTACACACCCTCTGATGTGTAGTTTAAATTCAATCTCCTCCACGAAGCCATTCCTAAGATTTCTGGCCCATGTCCATCACTTCTCTTACTCTGCAATGCATCCCCTAATTCAGTGATGGCGGACCTATGACACACGTGTCAGAGGTGACACGCGAACTCATTTTTTTGGTTGATTTTTCTTTGTTAAATGGCATTTAAATATATAAAATAAATATAAAAAATATAAGTCTTTGTTTTACTATGGTTGCAAATATCAAAAAATGTCTATATGTGACACGGCACCAGAGTTAAGTTAGGGTTTTTCAAAATGCTGACATGCCGAGCTCAAAAGGTTCGCCATCACTGCCCTAATTCTTTACTAGCCTCATGTCCTCACGGCCTCGACCTGCTAGAAGCTACAACATCTCAGGGACGATAATTAAAAAATTTCTGAACAACACTCACTGGTTTATAGGAACTTGGGGCAGGTGACCAGGACATACGTGGTTTAATGCCAAGGCCATTCTTACATGGAAACATTTAAAATGCAATGCAAATTTTTGTCGGTATTTCTATTCATACAAAAGCTTCTAACTCACTGTGTCCCTGTCTCTAACCAATCTATAACATGGATATAACACTTTAGTGCAGCGGTTCTCAACCTGTGGGTCGCGACCCCTTTGGCGGTCGAACGACCCTTTCACAGGGGTCGCCTAAGACCATCCTGCATATCAGATATTTACATGACGATTCATAACAGTAGCAACGTGACAGTTAGGAAGTAGCAACGAAAATAATGTTATGGTTGGGTCACAACATGAGGAACTGTATTTAAAGGGCCAGAAGGTTGAGAACCACTGCTTTAGTGGAATCCTTCCAAAGAGTCTTCAAGCCTTAAAAGAATCAATCACCTCCCCCTTACAAAGGCATTCACTACTCTATGACCACAGCCCTATTTCCCTCCATACCTCATCAATACTTTCTCATTCTGTAGCCTTTACTCCAATCCAAGATGACTGTGTGGGCTACTTGCTTTCCTGTAACTCAGTGGTTCCCAAACTTATTTGGCCTACCGCCCCCTTTCCAGAAAAAATATTACTCAGCCCCTGGAAATTAATTTTTTTAAAATTTTAATAGCAGTTACTCATCGCCCCCATATGCACCTGTGGCCATCACCGCCCCCCCCCCCCGCTGCAGCGCCTACCAGGGGGCGGTAGCGCCCACTTTGGGAATCACTGCTGTAACTTATAACCACTTCACAGAAGCAATGTTCTGCTCGTATTTCCCCTGAAACTTTAATTTTTCTTAATTCATCCTTCATTGTGATAGAATGTTGAGGTCAAGACTGTCTAGAAACCCTTGGACTCCCTCATTCCCTGTACAACGTCGCTGTTACCAGGATATTTTCGCATTCCTTAAAATAAATAGTCTTCTAAACTATTGTGCAGTGCCAGTCAAAGAATTTGTATCCCCAAAGTTCAGGTAAGGCCACTCGGGTTTAGGAAGGTTAATAGATTTCTCCACGAGCACATGGTAAGTGAGTTATTAAGCTACCCAGGGGTGATTTTGCCTCTTCTCCCACCCCACCAGATACTTGGAAATGTCTAGAGGTAGTTTTGGTTGTCTCAACTAGGGTGAGGGGTGGGAAGGACCAACCCAACCACTATCCAACCTCACAACTTTGTGTGAATTAGAAAAAAAAAGTCTCTTCCTCAGGATATTCTACTGCCTTCTGCCGGGCTACTGTCCTAATAACTCTGCAAATCTACAGTGACTATGAGGTACATGGCACCTCCCCAGAGTTATGAAATGCACAAATGCACAACCTACACAACCATAAGTGGACGCTCCCTGTGGGACACTGGGAAAGGTACTTAATGCCTCTAACTCAGTGGCCGGCAAACTGCGGCTCGCGAGCCACATGCGGCTCTTTGGCCCCTTGAGTGTGGCTCTTCCGCAAAATACCACGTGTGGTCGCGCACACAGTGCGATTCAAACTTCGTGGCCCCTGCGCAGAAGTCGGTATTTTGTGGAAGAGCCACACTCAAGGGGCCAAAGAGCCGCATGTGGTTCTCGAGCCGCAGTTTGCCGGCCACTGCTCTAACTCTCAGTTTAATTCTGAAACAAGGGGGCAATGATAGCTCCCTTGTATAGTAAAGAATTAACTATAATATATGAAGTCCTTAGTACATAGCTAGCACATGGTAAGAGACACATAATTGGTAGCTAGTATTTCAGCATGCTAAGTTTCATCTGTACCTATCCAAGAATATTTCCTTCTCTTGGCATAGGCAATGGAGTCTTGTTCAGCATTTGGACGAAAAGACTGTCTGAAATGATTCTAAACAAGCAAGAGTGAATTCAATTGGACTTTTTGCTTTCCTCAACTCCTTCTTAATCAGCTGAGACCCAACTTTCTCCTTCTTACACAGAAACATCACAGCAGCCCTGACACACCTAGGAACATAGAAAGAGCTCTGTCTTTACCCAATGATTAGGCAGATGTTTCTACAGCTCCTGTTATATCTATAGTCGATAAAGGATGACTCCCAGAAGGGTCATATGCCTACTTAACAATTATGAGAATGACAGTGTATCCATCAAAGGGCTGTGTCTGCTCAAACGAGGTGTCAGTACCATATTATGAAATCTGAAGCCAGCAGAAGTTTCACTAATTATAACTTCTATACAGATAAATGGCTAACTCAGGAAAGCTCCATTTTTTACACCTAAAGGAAGGATGAGGATAAGACATGCAGAATTGCCTTTCTGGATTAAAGTGAAAAAATTATATATGATCATAGCTTTGGGGAAAGAAATTTGGCAAGCACAGACTTGAATCTACAATCCAGCTGAGTTCTGTGGTGAAGTGTGGAGTGCCTTTGGCCCCTGCTTGTTGATTTATAATGGGTGTCAGCATACTGAGAGTCTGAGATCTGGGGATCCGAGGGTAAGGAGAAGTATGACTGCATGGTATCAAATAGGGAAATAGGTCTCTTGTTAAGGTGAAGATTAGATAGGTCGCTGGCTAAAAGGTCACTTAGAATTGAAGCAAGCATCTCTTTTGTCCAAGGCACAAACCTAAAAACACCTTGAAGCATGAGTATGACCAAAGTGAACCAGAGCCAAGAGCTCAGATGGGGGAGGCCTTCAGGTTCCTCCGACATCTGGTTTGGAAGCAGCATGGCCCTCCCTTGCATTGAGCCAGTCCCTATTTGGGGGAAGGGTTTAAGGAGGGAAAGGACCTCTCAAAAGGAAGATAGTAGACCTCTAGTTACAGGGCAGAAGGGAGCTCCAGGAACAAACAGGAAGGATAAAGAGGTGACATCACATCTCAGCTCCAAGTCACAGAAGCAAATCAAATGAACTACAAGGACAGCCATCTCCCCTCATCTCCATTACTCCATGTTTTCATGATTACAAGCAGCTCTAGCTCATTGTTTGTCTGCTTCACACAAAGGGAAAGTTGAGGTCTTGAGGTAAGCATCCTCATGAAATGACGGCCTCATTGAGAAGCATCCTTGAAACATAGGAGGTTAATGCACTTAGGAACTGTCCCTGCAGACAAAACCCTGCATTAGTTCTTCCTACACAGATGGGCTAGGAAAGGGGAGGAGTCATTTCCTCTGGGTGAAATGTTTAAACAAATCGATGGGTTGTCTTTTTATTTTATTTTATTTTTAATATTTTTATTATTGATTTCAGAGATGAAGGGAGAAGGAGACAGATAGAAACATCAATGATGAGCGAGAATCATGGATCGGCTGCCTCCTGCACACCCCACACTGGGGATCGAGCCCGCAATCCGGGCATGTGCCCTGACTGGGAATCTAACCGTGAGGGGAGGAGTCATTTCCTCCGGGTGAAATCTTTAACCAAATCGATGGGTTGTCTTTTTATTTTATTTTATTTTTAATATTTTTATTATTGATTTCAGAGATGAAGGGAGAAGGAGACAGATAGAAACATCAATGATGAGCGAGAATCATGGATCGGCTGCCTCTTGCACACCCCACACTGGGGATCGAGCCCGCAATCCGGGCGTGTGCCCTGACTGGGAATCTAACCGTGACCTCCTGGTTCATAGGTCGACGCTTAAGCACTGAGCCATGCCCGCCGGGTGATGGCTGCTTTTTGAAAAGAAGCAAAGGGAAGAGCATCTATAGCAGAAGAAGGGTGCATACCTCTTGCCCATCTTTGCTGACGTTGTCGCTGGCGTGCCTGGCCACAATGGAGAGGAACTGGAGGAGGCGGTGGAGGGTGTCGCAGTTGCACGGAGGTAAAAGGTAGATGAGGAGCTGCAAGGCGCCCAGTTGTTCCTCTGGCTCCAACACTAAGCAAGGCAAGAAGAGGCGCTGTACGTCAGTGAAATGGGGGAATTCACATGATTTAGGCTCAGACCGCCTCTCAACTTCCTTCAGAAAGAGATGATTGGGTCACATGTCTCTCCTTCACCCACACTCCCACTGATTTAGCAATTTAGCAGCAAGGTTCTGTGAGGGATGTCAAGATTCATTAGACCTGGGGAAATGTAACATCTAGAGCAGTGGTTCTCAACCTGTGGGTCGCGACCCCTTTGGGGGTCGAACGACCCTTTCACAGGGGTCGCCTAAGACCATCAGGAAACACATATATAATTACATATTGTTTTTGTGATGAATCACTATGCTTTCATTATGTTCCATTTGTAACAATGAAAATACATCCTGCATATCAGATATTTACATTATGATTCATAACAGTAGCAAAATTACAGTGATGAAGTAGCAACGAAAATAATTTTATGGTTGGGGGTCACCACAACATGAGGAACTGTATTAAAGGGTCGCGGCATTAGGAAGGTTGAGACCCACTGACCTAGAGCAAGCATTATAATCCAGGCTAGGAAGGTACCTTAATTTCCCTCCTCTCCCTCCTTTCCCTGACATTACTAATCATTTAATTTGTGTATTATTGTCTTTCATTGGTGGTTAATATTTACTAACAATGACTGAGAATTGGCAAACATTTTAAAATTTGAGTTTAGAACATAGCTGGAACTCTTTTCTGTTGAGCAATACAGAAGAGATAGACTTTTTGTTGGCAATAACTAAGACACAGCGCCACGACAGCGTCTTCTCTCTCTTTTATGATCCTATTTGAATTACAGCATTGGAGGAAGAAAGGTATGGAGGCTGACTCAGCTCTAACCTATTCTTACCCCACCCTCACCTTCCTTTTCTCCTCCATGGGATCTGTCTCTATAGCCTGCCAGTGGCCACAGGGGAAGTCCTGGCACGGGGCTGCACCATCTTGCTTCCCTGGAATATTGCCTGTCCCCATTTCTCAATCTGAGTCCCTTTCTCACTCCTTCTTTGTGCAAGAAATGCAAACTCATTTTTAGGCACAGACTCAAAGGGAACTCTCGCTATTACTTCAAAGCATCAATAGACAGCACTTTCTACTGTCCTAGGGTCATCTGAAAGCATCCCATATTCTTGGCTACATCCATTGTTCTATTGCAACTTGCTTCTTGCTAATTCTCTCCAGGGTGAATCCCAGAAAATTCCCCAAATAACCCACTCATTAGAGACCAATAAATAAGGACCAAAAGCTAGTGGGAAACACATGCAGGAGGCTTGGATGAGTGAGTTGGACATCCCGGTAATCCAGGAACACATTCCCACTGACGGATGTGTTACGCACGGAGGGTATTGATGAAAGCGGTGTACAGCTCCCTGGTGAGAAGGGGGTCTGGCATGTCCCTCAGGAACTCCTTCAATAAGGCAGCCACGTCATGAACACTGTGCTCTTCCTCCAGAGAGACATCAACCCCACGGTCAAATTCCTCGCGTAACTGGAAAGACAACAGTTCAAGTGGCAATCTCGTAACGCCATCTCTCTATGCTCAGTGCCCAGCAAAAGAAGCGCTGCGATTTCAGCATCTGGTATTAAGTTTACGTAGGTGAGGAGATACTTCTTTCAGGTAGTTTTAATAATCTGCATAGCCCTGGCTGGTTTGGCTCAGTGGATAGAACTTTGGCCTGTGGACTGAAGGGTTCCAGGCACATGTCTAGCTTGTAGGCTCAATCCCCGGTAGGGGGTGTGCAGGAGGCAGCCAATCCATGATTCTCTCTCATCACTGATGTTTCTCTCTCTCTCTCCCTCTTCCTCTCTGAAATCTCTCTCTCTCTCTCTCTCTCTCTCTCTCTCTCTCTCTCTCTCTCTCTCTCTATATATATATATATATATATATATATCCTATATAATAAAGAGGCAATATGCTAATTGACCATCACATCCTCACAAGATGGCGACGCCCAGTCCCTTCAGCCACGCAGGTGGGGGAAGGGGGGTGCGACAGGTGTGCGGATCCGGCCGCTCCATGCACCTTCTGCTAGAGTCTCCCAGTCCCCTCAGCCCTGCTGGCGGTGAATTTTTATGCAACCATTACCTTTTTAAAAAATCCTTACCCAAGGATATGATTATTTCTTTTAGATCATCTGTTCGTGGGGAGCAGGCCTAAGCAAGCAGGTGGGCATCCCCCAAGGGTCCCAGACTATGAGAGGGTGCAGGCTGGGCTGAGGGACCCCCCATGTGCATGAATTTTCATGCACCGGGCCTCTAGTGTGTATATATTTATATAAAGATCTGCATAAACTTAATACCCAAGGAGGAGATGCAAACAACATGTTGCCTTGATCTACAGAGTCTATGCAACCCAGCCAGGAATATACATGTAAGTGCATTATTTAAAAAAGTATCTGTGAGTTTACTGTTAATGATGCAAGCAGAAGGGTTTGATAACTATATCCAGAAGTTGGGAAGAAGAGCTAAGGGGTTAGGTCAACTATAATTGTGGGAGGGAGGAATGAATCCATTATATAGCAGTTTTGCATATCAGCATTCCTACCATGTTGGAATTTTGACATTTTACAGAAATACTCGACAAGAAAGCAAAGAGCTTTTTCTGCAAACAATGAAATTTAAAACCCGATGAGCCAAGCATGACTAAGTCTTAAAAGGTGACAATAACTAAACAGGAGCTGCCTTATATTTGTCCAAGTAGCTTAGTAACCGTTCCCAGAAGGTTTCCATGCCTTAAATCATTATACTAGGTTTATTAGCATTCACAGCAGCAGCAGGAAGACACAATAGCAAGAAGAAGGGAGTCATAGCTCTGCACCCTACTTTTATCACTGACAGCTCAACTTCTCTTATGTATTGTTCTCTGCTGTACAAATAATTATGTGAGTTTATGAATCTATTCAATGCAATGAGCTTCTATAAGAGTTCATGTGTTGAAGCATCCATTCACCCATCCATTCAACAAAGATGTAATGCACGCTTCCTGTGTCCCAGGCCCTCAAAGTATGGTGGTGAATGAAGAGGTAAAGTCCTTCCCCTTCCCCAGCTCTCAAGCTGATAAGAGAAACAGGTAATCCCACAAATGATTAATTAACTGTTAATATTGTGACAATTGTTCTGAAGAAAAAGCGTAGGGTGCTAAGAAGGAAATATAACAAGATGAAATGCTGAGTGCGTTAGAGAGTCTTTCATTCTTGAAATCTAAGTCTAAATGACCACGAATTCTATTTTTATTAGATAATCTCCATGCAGTTTTTCTTTAGCTGGATCCAGATATAACTAAGGAGTAATTCCTGACACTACCTCTCCACCTGCAGAAAATGCCCATTACTGTCTTGAACCATTGTCCAGGCAACTATCCATCAGTGTGCATGAGGGAGCTAGAAAGAAGGTTTCTATTGGTGCCACTCCCACTTGTGATCATTCGAACACATCATATTTCTTTCTTTAATTAATTTATTTTTGGTTAATCCTCAGCCAAGGATGTTTTCCATGGATTTTTAGAGAGAAAGTGGAAGGGGTGGGGAGAGACAGAGAGAGAGAAACATTGATGTGAGAGGACACATCGATTGGTTGCCTCCCATAGGCACCCAGACCAGGGCCAGGGATCGAACCTGCAACCGAGGTATCTGCTCTTGACCAGAATTGAACCTGCAACCCTTCAGTCCACAGGCAGATGCTCTAACCAGTAAGCCAAACCGGCCAGGGCTCGAACACACCCTATTTCTTTTCTGAGCACACACCCATTCAGAAAGAATGGACCATGGAAAGAGCTTGGTCTAAATGTTCTGATCTTGAATTTAACATTGTGTGATATTGACTTAAGTTTCTTAATCTCTTGAATCCTCAAAAGAAGTGGTTGAAAGGGGCTACTCAGAGCTGGTGGGCAGATTGAATGAGATAATGTTGGTGGAAATACCCTGCAATTCTGCAGAGGCCTAAGACATATGACTATGCTATCGTCCCTCCTGAGAGTCCTGTTGTGACATAGAATTCAACAGTCTCTTGTGTGACTATGAAAAATAAAAACCAACCAACAAACCAAACAGAAAACACACTTCTTTCGAAAGACCTCTTATCTTGAAAAAAAATAAGATAGGTGAGGGGGTATTTAGTTCAGTTAGTTGCAATAATCTAAATAAATATTCCTTCAGCTTCATCCAACTGAAAATAATTTTGATTTGGCTTCATTTTTAAGTTGTTAAGTTCCTTATTCCTTTCTGTTAAAACCAACACAGGGAAAAGAACATTTTAATTTTTTTCAGCCAACAGATGAATTCTTTTCCCAAAGGATGGTTTGCCTTTTATGCAACCATCATGAACACAGATATCTGCCTGATCAGAGGAACGTATTCCTGAAGCTCCAATAGCAAGCTTCTATTGCAAGAATATTGCACAGTGCTGAAGGAAATCAACAGTACATTCCCCACATGAAAAATGAATTGGGAATCACTGGTTCCATGGAAAATTCATAAGAATTGTTTATTTTTGAGAATTATTTATTAGGGTCCTAGGGTCATCTGAAAGCATCCCATTGTATGAATGTTAATGGCATTATTCATATTGCATTTTAGTAAAAAATTGGTGCTGTATAATTATTTTCTACTTCTTATCGCTTACTGATTAGGTACTCTCTGAGTCTCCTGCGTTTACAGTTTCGGTAAGATATTTCTAAATCCGTTTTGCTTGGCTGTACATACCATGCACATGTCTGGACGTTTTGCTTTCAAGTGTTTGATCCTAACTCAATCGCAACCTTTCTGAGCCTCTGAGCTTCTCGCCTGTTGCCTTTTACCTCTCGGGACTCAATTATACTATAATTGGCAGGACCGTGCAGAAAAGATATTCAGAAGTGAATTTGCAAAAGCTTGAACTTGGCATGAGGTGATTCAATTGACAGTCAAGGGAAACGTACAATGTCATCTTTACTTCTCACTTACTTGTCTCACTCTCTTTTTGGAGCTTCCGACTCGAAAGATCCCCACTGTCTGGAGACCTGCAAACAAGCAAACAGAATCAACAGACCTGTTTTATGGCGTGAAACTCTGGAGGAAGTCAAAATAGAAACAGAACAGAAGGCCAGCACTGGGCTGCAGCACGCAAATGCTATCACTTGATATGCCCACTGTCATTCTCCAGTACCTACAGGTTAGCCCTATAGGCAACCGGATAATTCGATGTTAAACATTTCTGTTAAAACAATTTTTCATGTGATATGATGCTCTTCCGCACCTCCATATGAGAAAAGTTATGTAACAATTCTCTTATTATTCAGAATAATTACTTAATCATGAATTTTTAGCTCTTTATCAATATTGAAAATAGTTCTTGTTTTACTGATCATACATAAAACATGTACTTATTAAAGAAGATCTATAAAAGGCAGAAACATGTAAAAAATAATATACTTCAAAAAACCACCTGATACAGAAATAATCGCTCTTTAATATTTTGGTTTCTTTTTATCCAGCCATTTCTCAATATATATACAGGGGTGGACAAACATAGGTTTACAGTTGTAATGCAAATATATAATTAATAAATAATAATGCAAGAATAAACGTTCACATACTCACAACTGTAAGCCTACTTTTGCCCACCCCTGCATATATGGAGGGAGGGAGGGAGGGAGGGAAGAAGGGAGGGAGGGAGAGAGAGAGAGAGAGAGAGAGAGAGAGAGAGAGAGAGAGAGAATGCTACTGTTTTCACTCCATATTATGCTATAAGATTTTTTTTACGCCAGTAAAAATTCCTTGTAAATGTCATTTAAAATGCATGCAAATACTTTATAGTATGAATATGCCACAATTCACTTCATATTCCCCCGACTGGCATATAGGTCCCCCCACACATATGCACTTGTTTTGCATTATAAATGGCCCTATTATGAACAACAGTACACACTTCTAATTTTCTTAGGATCATATCCTAGAAGTGGGGTTATTGTGGAGGTTGAGAGACTGCTCTTAAACAATTAGCTCTCTTAAAACAAACAAGTGTTATCACACATTAGACATTTCAACAATAGTTCCATAATATCATTAAATTTCCAGTCAACATTCACATAAGGTTCACAAACTCTGATAGATCTATATGCCTAATACAAGAACTATGTATTTTCTATTCTTGCAAGAAATGGTTTTCAAATCTTTTTTTTAAAAGAAGCTGGACTCTTATTTTTTAAAGGAAGCCTTATGAGTGACTTCAACGTATAAAAAAAGATAAAAGCGGGTCTTCTCTGTTTGAGGGGGATCCTGGAGACAGGCCTAGTCCAACAGATATTGCCCCCCTAAATTGCTTGGCCTCAAAGGTTACTTCTGAAGACTCTTGGGGTCTAGGTAGTCTGAATGCCATCAAGTAGCTATTCCCCCCAAAATCTTGGTTAGCCCAGGAATCTCTGAAGCAAACACATCCATAAGCTTTTTTTTTAATCCTCATCTGAGGATATTTTTCCATTAATTTTTTCCCACTGATTTTTAGAGAGAGGGAAAGACAGAGAGAAATATTGAAGTGAGAGAAACACATTGATTGGTTGCCTCCTGCACGCACCCTGACCAGAGCCCGGGCTGGGGTGGAACCTGCAACAGAGGTACTTGCCCTTGACCAGAATCGAACCCGGGATCCTTCGGTCCATAGGCCGATGCTCTATCCACTGAGCCAAACCGGCTAGGGCCATAAACTATCTTCACAAAGGAAACTTTGGCCCAGAGTTTGATCCAGTGAACACAGAATTAAACTGGGTGCTTAAGTAAATGATGCTTGAATTAATGAAAGTCTTCAGTACTGACAGAGAAGTCTGCTTACCATGTTTTTCTAGATGTTGACAGCAGCTGTCCACCAGCCTGGGAACCTGTCTGTAAATAGGATTCAGACTGAGTTTCTTATCTCTCGCTTTTTCTTTTTTACTTTGAGCTTCCGCAGGCAAGGAGAGCTGTAAAGCTTCGAGAAGTCGAGACTGATTGTCATCAAGATCTGTAATGGAGTCCACTGACATTGCGCCCTGCAAATCACACACAGCCATGAGCAGAGTGCAGACAGAGAAGATAAAAACAGCTTCTCCCAGATGCCATCCAGGAATACTTTTACCCATAATTATTTATCAGACTTGAAATAATACTGCTTGATTTAATTGTGCTGCTTGTATATTGAGAGGGGAAAAAACAAACATCTTTTGAAAAAGTCAGAAGACGTCCATACACGGGCTAAGATACTGGCAGTGACAATTTCAACAATAGACAACATTTTCCAAATGAAAGACACGAGGGCAAACATAGAATTAAAATATTGAACGCACACTTTGTTCCTTTAAACAAGAAACATCGCATACTCAATGAATGAGGTAGTTAGAGAAATCTTGTGAAGAAACAAATAAAACAGTCTTAGTTTGCTTTCCCCCAGAAGCAGCCCAAAGCACTTTCTCAGGAAAGTGGTCCCCGCAGCCACCTGCAGGGGAGTGGGGAAATGAGACACGGAAGAGAAAGCAGCCCCTGACGGGAGCCTCCCCCGGCCTATGACCACCATGGGCAGCTGGAGTCCAGTTGCATGGGGGGCCCTGGGAGACAGTGCGGATCAAACACCCCTGAGCTAGCCCTGCTCAGGTGTGACGGAGCTGAGGTATTTATACTCTAAGTCTCAAGAGTCATCGATTAAGGGCTCCTCAGTTAAGAAATGGTCACGCCTGCCCTAGCTGGTTTGGCTCAGTGGCTAGAGCAGTGGTTGTCAACCTTCTGGCCCTTTAAATACAGTTCCTCATGTTGTGACCCAACCATAAAATTATTTTCGTTGCTACTTCCTAACTGCAATGTTGCTACTGTTAGGAATCGTCATGTAAATATCTGATATGCAGGATGGTCTTAGGCGACCCCTGTGAAAGGGTCGTTCGACCGCCAAAGGGGTCGAGACCCACAGGTTGAGAACCGCTGGGCTAGAGCGTTGGCCTATGGATTGAAGGGTACGGGGTTCAATTCCAGTCAAAGGCACATGCCCAGGTTGCAGGCTCGATCCCCAGTAGGGGGCGTGTAGGAGGCAACCGAGCAATCATTCTCTCTCATCATTGATGCTTCTATCTCTCTCTCCCTCTCCCTTCCTCTCTGAAATCAATACAATATATTTTTTAAAAAAGAGTAGCTTCTGGTAGGGGCAGGGAGGTGGTGTCAATGCCTCACTCAGTCGGTGCAGCTTGTCATCGGCCTGGGTGGGCATCAGAGAAAGCCCTCAGCAAAGAGATGAGGTGCTGGCAGGTGAGAAGGCCAGCTTGCTAGGAATAGTGAAGGCCCAGGGGCAGGGAACAGGGCACCAGCCATGCCTGTGTAGTCACGCATCCTGAGATGAAGTGTGGAGGAGGAAGCTGGCTGCTGATGTCCTGGGAAGGCCTGGACAAGAGGAGAGGGCATTTGGGAGGCCAATTGCATAGGCCTAGGTCCGTGGTCGGCAAACCTCGGCTCGCGAGCCACATGCGGCTCTTTGGCCCCTTGAGTGTGGCTCTTCCACAAAATACCACGTGCGGGCGCGCACGTACAGTGTGATTGAAACTTCGTGGCCCATGCGCAGAAGTCGGTATTTTGTGGAAGAGCCGGTATTTTGTGGAAGAGCCACACTCAAGGGGCCAAAGAGCCACATGTGGCTCTCGGGCCGCAGTTTGCCGAGCCGCAGTTTGCCGACCACTGGCTTAGGTTACCAGAAAACTCTAATGTAGAGTCTTGTTGTCATTGCCATATATGGGTTTGGACAGACAGTCTGAAGGACAATGATAGGATTGGAAGAACAATTCCATCATGCAAATTCAAAGGTGGTCATGTCTTCCTTTTTACACAGAGCCAAAGCTTTGAAAAATAGCAGTGGCTCGAGTGCCCCTCTATCTCGGAGAGGTCCTGAATGTTGGGGGCGGATGGAGAAATATGGATTTCAAGTGAGAAGTATCTGGGCAGCGTTCTCAACCTGTGGGTCACGACCCCTTTGGCGGTCGAATGACCCTTTCACAGGGGTCGCCTAAGACCATCCTGCATATCAGATATTTACATGACGATTCATGACAGTAGCAACATGACAGTTCTGAAGTAGCAACGAAAATCATTTTATGGTTGGGTCACAACATGAGGAACTGTATTTAAAGGGCCAGAAGGTTGAGAACCACTGGTCTGGGGTTTTAACTAGGGCATTAGTCAAAGGCTGGAGGTGACAAAAATTGGGAGCCTCCAGGTGAGAGAAAAGAGAGAGAAGTTCTCCCAGTGACCTGGGAAGTTTTAGAAATGTTTATCAACGGGCTCAGCCAGTCACCAACCAGCTTTCCTGAAAACTCAGCTTTCTTCACTTGAAATGTGAAATTTGAAATGCCAAATAAGAGTACGGTGCCTAGACACAGCACTCACTAAATAAATGGTAACATATCAGTATTGCTTACATATATATCTGGTTATGTCTGAGAAAAAGAAAGTTCCAGGGAAAAGATTGTTTATGAAACCAGCAGCAATTCACTGGGCCAGGCACGGTTCTCAGCTGAAGATGAAGAGATGAACAAAAACATCTAGCCCTGCCTTCCAGCCTCATGGTCTCATGGGAGAGTCTCCGAACACAACAGAAGATTGCAACAGACCAGGATCAATGGTGATGTAGAATGTTCAGGATATCACAGGACATATGTGTAAACAAGGAGGGGTACCCGAGGGCTTTGAGAGGGATGAGGGAAAGGCTTTGAGTGGGTGCCAGGTGCCATAGAGCCGGTGTAAATTCTCCCTGAATGGAGTGGTTGACATACCTGGACACAAATGACATTTCCAGTTTTCGCATGAGCAAAGACTCAGAAAATAACCTCATACACCTTTGGTTGTCCTCGCATTGGCTACAGAGAAAATACTGAACAACTCACCCTCCTCCTCGCCCGAGGAGCTGGTTCCGGGGTGTTTGGCGATGTCGACTCATTTGGTGTTTCCGAGGTGGAGCTGAGAGATGAGTTACTGCTTGACAGTTCTTTGTTTTGTCTTTTACTTCCAAATGGGAGGAGGGAGGCAACAAAATCGGATGCATCCTTTTGCTCGTCCCTCTGTAAGTCCTGCTTGAGCTTGTAGGCCCGGTCATTTGCAATGACTTGGGACAAGGGCATTCCGAATGCCTGCGGGATGAATTCTGGAATCGAAACACAAACATTCATTTTCAGAGAAAGACCGGATCCGTGGAGACTTTCACTGACGCGTGAGACCTCAGGGCAGACATATTCAAATGGCTGTTTTTGGAAGAACTGATTGCTCAATCCAAATAAGAAGATGACTTTTGTGTTGATCAGAGTGGCCAAAGTTTCTATTTCAATAAGGAAAGCTGGTGTGTATAACTATTACAGGCTTTAGACTTCTCGGCCTCTTGTTTTTCTCCACATAGCTCAAGTATGGTTGACAGGAAGTGACTTTATAGAGAAATGTGATCTTTTTGATAAAATGTACATAATAGTTTATCCTCATGAGGACACAGTTTCACAAAGAGTTAGTCCTCAATTTGTATGTCTCAAGAACCCCCAAAGCTTACAAGGCATGGTAAGACTCTGCATTGATACATTCAGTTGACAGACACTTATTGAAGACCTACTATGTGCCACGTCAAATTACACAATGGGGAGTACACAGCTTGTGAAAGGCAGGTCCAGTCCTTGCTCCCGGAAGGTTCCGAGAGTGGAGTGGCGGAATGCAGTCAGATATGTAAATAAATGCAATAGTGTCCATAATGCGCTAGCATAGAGAAATGCATGAAGCAAAGGCAAATTCAATTAAGTGGCTATACTTTGAAGTTCCCAGTGAAAGAGCTATCACGTGACATGATAATCTGAGAGGCAGAGGAACAACTTGGAAAGAAGTCTGATTTTTTCATTGTGTTGCTTGCCCCCACATGCTGGCCCCAGTCAGCCGGGTTGGGGCTGTCACTCATGATCTGTGCTCAGGCTGTTCTGCTGACCACATGCGAAAGTGGAGTCCCGCCATTAACTATCTGGTGAAGGGCCCCAGATACAATTTGTTCAATCCTCTAGTGAGGAAAATTTTGGAGAAGGAGCAGAATGCAGAAATCTATGGCTTTATTTGTAGATGTACATCCAGTTGCTTTCTGGATCTCTACAGTAATGTGTATACAGATACATCATAAGCACACCAATCTTTAGGGCCAGGCATTTTATTTTTTTTATATTTTCATTGATTTCAGAGAGGAAGGGAGAGGGAGAGAGAGAGAAACATCAATGATGAGAGACTATCATTGATCGGCTGCCTCCTGCACGCCCCCTACTGGGGATCGACCTCACAACCTGGGCATGTGCCCTGACCGGGAATCAAACCCTGACCTCCTGGTTCATAGGTGGATGCTTAACCCCTGAGCCACGCCGACTGGGCAGGGCCAGGCATTTTATTGGCAACATTTTATATTCATGGTGAAGAGCATTAATGATTAAATTAAATTTCTTTTAGATGCAAAATTAGGTCTCTTAGCAGCAGCAGATTGGAGTCTAGCCTCTCCATTCTTTTTATAACCTCTATAAATAAAACTAGAGTGCCCTGGCTGGTTTGGCTCACTGGATGGAGCATTGGCCTGGGGACTGAAGGGTCCCAGGTTCGATTCCAGTCAAGGGCATGTGCCTTGGTTGCGGGTGCATCCCCAGTGCGGGGTGTGCAGGAGGTGGCTGATCAATGCTTCTCTCTCATCGATGTTTCTGGCTCTCTGTCCCCCTCCCTTCCTCTCTGTAAAAAAATCAATAAATATATTTTAAAAAATTTTAAAAATAAAACTAGAGTGGTCAAGAGAAAACAGTTGTAAAATGGTTTGTTCTTCGAAAGAAAAAGCTAACATTAAATCAGGTGGAAAGACGCTTTAAAGGTTTTCTTCTTTGATACAAGGCACCATTTAAAAAAATTAATATTTTATTGATCATTTTACAGAGAGGAAGGGAGAGGGATAAAGAGCTAGAAACATCGATGAGAGAGAAACACCGATCAGCCGCCTCCTGCACACTCCCTACTGGGGATGTGCCCACAACCAAGGTACATGCCCTTGACTGGAATCGAACCCGGGACCCTTCAGTCGCAGGCCGACGCTCTGTCCACTGAGCCAAACCAGTCAGGGCACATGGCACCATTTTGAACATCACAGAGCTAATGGCCATGTCTACACTGAAAGCAGAAATAACACTTGAAAAGTCTGCACCTCTGGGTCTATCAAAACCTGCAATTCGTTTTTAAGTGGAAAATTAAGCCTTCGGCACCCTGGCTTAGCATTTGGGGATTTTCTGCAGATGCTTACAATTCTCCATCAACAAACCAGGTGGCATATAATAATCCCAAAAATATTTTAGGAATTTGTTTTGAGTGATCAGTGTGGCCAGTGTAGCAAACTGCAATGCTCCTTATAAAAGGCCACTCCCACTACCAGCAAATAGAAACCAAATGGGGCCCTAGCGGACCACCTGCTGTGCACCCAGGTTTTATTATGTAAATCAGTACTCTCTTGTCTATGGGAACAATCAAATAGTCTGACCTCAAAAAGGTTGGGGAGCCCTAACCGGTTTGGCTCAGTGGATAGAGCGGCGGCCTTCGGACTGAAGGGTCCAGGTTCGATTCCGGTCAAGGGCATGTACCTTGGTTGTGGACACATCCCCAGTAGGGGGCGTGCAGGAGGCAGCTGATCGATGTTTCTCGCTCATCGATGTTTCTAACTCTCTATCCCTCTCCCTTCCTCTCTGTAAAAAATCAATAAAATATATATATTTTAAAAAGGTTGGGGAAAGTCTAGAAACAAGTGGATGGCCAGGTTGACAGCTACACAGAATATTAGGGACAATAACAGCAAAAAGGATATTGATGAATATCTCAAGTGACATGTGCCTGCTCATGCAGGCTTGCTCATAGCAGAATTTAATATGAGATGGGGACTATTGATTTCTCTCCGAGCCGCATTTTCTATACAAGGAAAACCAACCAGTCTCATTTAGAGATTTCTAATATCCCTGGGGGGAAACAGAAGAAAAATGGGTTTCCTTTGGAAATCTGTCACTTTTAATATCTGAGAGTCTGTCACTCTACTTGTAAATTGGAATAACTGAATACAAATGAAACAGATGGAATATGTGAAGTCATTCTCCCCAATTTTTATTTCTCTCTTTTTTCCCCAATCAAGAGCCGTAGCCACCTATCACAGATTTTTATTTCTAATGGGCTTCCTCTCCTGGCTGAGTTTATTCTTTCAGTAATAGCATTCTGATATAGTCTCTTTAGTTTCTCATTGCTTTCTTCCGAGGGCTCTTACAAGCTTCAGAAAGGAGACTTCCCTGTGCCATTCAACTTGTGCTGCCGTGTCTAGTTTCTGTCAAATTCTAGATATGATTCCTTGAATATTTTTGCTTTTCAAAATATGGCTATTGTGAAATTGGGGATTTATCACAAGCATATTGAGCAAATTCCTCCTTTATGTGTAAATAAAGAGTTGAGCACCCACGCTTATCTGAGGACTCAAAGCTCTTCCACCAGTGGATAAAAGGAACCTGTGATGATGGTGGCTAATCAAGTTGAGAATAGGTTTTAAAACCATAAGGAGATTACCCAAGACGCACTGTTTGGGGGCCAGGAACAATGTGTCTCATGTTCCTATCTATGGAATGTGTTCATCAAGGAGGCGGCTTCCCGTGCTGTTTTTATCAGTAGCAACTGCCTACTCTCCCGCCCCAAGAACTGTGGGGTCAGGCACGACATCCCCTCTGCTCCCTACTGCCATTCCCAGATGATCCTCTTCCCACGGTGCCGCAGAAACGGGCTATTGCAAGGTTCCCCTGGTCTCCTGGTATCTGCTATTGTCAATGACTTCGACTCATGGTCATGACCCTCCAAAATCTACCATCCCCCTGGGTGGCTTGGACATCTACTGAAATGGCCCATCTGATCCTCTGTCATCCCATCTCCTTGACCTACTCTGCTCTTCCTTTTTCATGCACGCCACCTCTTTCATCCACTCCCTCCGTCCCATCCTGGGCTTTGTCCTCAGCAGGAGTGATTCCACCTCTGGAATCAGGCGTCTTCCTTCCAGTCTTGTCTCCTTCCACCCCAAGTTCATGTTTACCCTGCGGTGTGGCAATCTGTTTAAACACACCATCAAGCCACCCCCTCCACGACACTTTGATGGTGGCTCCATACCCCTGGTGCTGTGATTAGGAACCACATTCACTGGAACAAAGTAGTTATCTTTAACCCTTTCCCCTCCAAGTGATTTCTCTTGGATACAAGCAGGAGATTGTTCTAAAGTTCTAAAAGTTTACAAATACTTTTTGGTTGCCAAGCAATTTAACTAAGAGAAATGAAGGGCTTGGAACTATTCCGTATGACAATGTGTTTTCTGTTTCCAGATCGTAGCTATTGTAAATAAGGCTGCTATGAACACAGGGGTGCACATATACTTTCTGATTGGTGTTTCAGGCTTCTTCGGATATATTCCTTGAAGTGATGCAGTGAAGGCCTGGGGTGGCCGTGGGAGTGGGGGAAATGGAGGAAAAAATGGGGCATCTGTCATACTTTCAACAATAAAGATAAGTTAAAAAAAGTAATGCTTTATTGGCGCACCCCAAAACCTGTTGATTATAGATACACGTAAGCTTTTTGTGACTGCTTTATAAATGTCTAAAACTAAAAATTAGTGAGGGCAAGAATAAATAAAATATTTATATAGCCTTTTGACACAGGAACAACAAAAAAAGGAAACATGTTTTCTGCACCAGCATCCGTCTTGAATTAGTTTCATATGGAAATCAAAAGTCACACGGGCACTGCTTAAGTGGCAGGAGGGATGCAGGAATGTCACATGATCTGCTGTACATTATGTCAAGCGATGAAATAAAATACAGGACATGGTTCATTCTGATTGAATCAATTAATTTAGCGGCGTACCAAACATTTAATGAATCACTCTTTATGGGGAAAGCAATTTGATTCTAATAAGCGGCTCCCATTTATTTTTAGATGATCTAACCCAAAAGGTCATTTCGAGTTTCCTGTTTTCCTGATTTTACTCTGGGATTCAAGTGATTATCATTTTTCACATGTGCAGCTGCTATGAACTCAAATGCTAATATTCCAACGGAAGAAAATACTGTGAACCAACTCACTGTGTGAGACCCGCATGCTGCCCCTCACACTGGTTCCCAGGACTTCAGATTCGGGAAGGATGCCATGGAATTAAGCTTCATGGAAGCCTAGGACGCCTTCTCTTTAAATATCAGAGCTACTTTAAATAAGAAAAAATACCATTTTTTTTCCCATGAAGCCGTGTGTTTCTCCCCTTAGTTGGATGGGTGATGTGTCTTTCCTTTGGAAGCATCAGGACCTGTTTTATTTCTCCCCAAGCCAGCTCCCTGCGCAGCCTTGTAGAACACTGCCAAGTTCTTGCTGCGCCTATATAATACATAAATATGATTCGGTCTGAAAAATGCCCAATGGCCCAGTACATATTGGTCAATGACTTCCCCTGGCCCTTCTTCCCTGCTCACATCCATTCTTGCTTCCTGCTGGTTTGTGATATAAGCAAGCACACACACACCTCTCTTGAGAGAGAGAACTGAAACATCTCCCACAAAAATGCTCATTCTGCTCAGTACCCGTGGTCGGCAAACTGCGGCTCGCGAGCCACGTGCGGCTCTTTGGCCCCTTGAGTGTGGCTCTTCCTAAGCCTTAGGAGTACCCTAATGAAGTGAATAACAACGTACCTACCTATATAGTTTAAGTTTTAAAAATTTGGCTCTCAAAGGAAATTCCAATCATTGTACTGTTGGTATTTGGCTCTGTTGGCTAATGAGTTTGCCGACCACTGCTCTGTGGGAAGTAAAATGTTGGTTTTCCATTCTTTAGAATTCTGTATCTCCTTTTATTCCAAAGCAGGGGTCCTCAAACTACGGCCCGCGGGCCACATGCAAATACAAATATTGTATTTGTTCCTGTTTTGTTTTTTTACTTCAAAATAAGATATGTGCAGTGTGCATAGGAATTTGTTCATAGTTTTTTTTTTAAAACTATAGTCCAGCCCTCCAACGGTTTGAGGGACAGTGAACTGGCCCCCTGTTTAAAAAGTTTGAGGACCCCTGTTCCAAAGAATCAAATGTAATGACCCTTTAGCATGGTTCGAGATATGGGTATAGAGTCTGGGATCGATGATGGGGACTAGGTCTTGTCCAATATTGATTCCAATGTGTTTATTTTTTATACCTCCAGTTTTATTTCCTTACATCAAGCAGAAATTCAATAGTTATATAAAAGATTTCCCAGGTGAGGCACACGGCTCTCCTTACTCAACACTCATTTACTCTGTCACATAAAATGAAAATACATTCATATGACTACACCATTCAGCAGTCATTTCATAGAAACAAACCACAAAATGTTGTACTATGCTAACGGGGGCCAGGTGCCCATTGTGTGGGCTCAATTAATATTAGTTTGAAACGACCACAAGGAATGACTAAAGTGTCAATTCCCTAGGTAGACACAAAAGGGTACACAAAACAGTATGAAGAGAGTCAACAATTCCCAAAACATATAGGGCAAAGAATAAGCACACAATGATCTAACATCAAAATGCTGAGAATGGCTCATCTTCAGTAACCCGTGAGGATGAGACTGTTTCTCTCCAGTAGTCATGGTAGGCGAATCCACACTCTTTCTCAGTCAACTAGCCCTGCCTAAATATCTGGATTTGCCAGACAGCTGGTTAACGTTAGAGATGCTATCCATGGCTACTCAACCCAGGTTCTCTCTCTGCATAGCTGATTGGCCAGAATCATAATTAGAACCATAAACTTGGCTGAAGTCACACTTTTCTCAAACCAGCTGAACTCATCAATTCAATACAGGGCCACTCAAACACAAAAGAGTAGACCCAAACAGTTCTTAATGACATTCCATCATAGAAATCCAGTTTACGTAATAGCATTGAACCACATAAATCTATGCAATTCAAAAACCCCACCAAATTCAACCATTATGCTCCATGGAAGATGTATTCCCTCTAGTTCATTCTGTTCCTTACCTCTGTCTTTGTTTTTCTCCTTCCCTAGTGAATCCAGTTTCTTTCTCAAAGATTTCTTCCTCTTTTGTCCATCTGTAAATATTAAAAGAATAAAAAATTGTAAAAATAAGAATACAAGTAATATTTTACATTATCAATAACCATGTCTGAGCAAAAGCATGACTTCTCACTTACCTCACTCATAATTTGACATTTTAAACAGACCAATGGCTCTGAAAATATAAGAAAAATCCCTGACTTGGATTGCACACATCACTAGAATCTTGGTGTATGCTCTTAAAATTTGTTTCAATAGAAAGTACAGGAAAGTTATTTCCTTCAGAAATAATTTAGTTTTGAAATTTCAGATATGTTTGTTTTTACTATTAGATGAGCTTCTTCCTATTCTTCATATTTATGTGGACCAATGTCATCTTTTTAAAATGTTTATTGAATTTATGGGGGTGACATCGGTTAATAAAATTATATAGGTGTAAAATTCTGTAACAAATCATCTGCATATTGCATTGTGCAAAGTTAAGTCTCCTGTCACCATTTGCCCACCTTTACCATCTTCTAGCTCCTCCCACCCCATTTCCTTCTGATAATCATCACACTGTTGTCTCTGTCTATGAGTTGTATCTTGCTAAGTGAAAGAAGTCAGTCATAGAAAGACACATACCATATGATTTCACTTACATGTGGAATGTAATGAACAGAATAAGCTAACAAACAAAATAGAAAGAGACATAGAGAGAACAGGCTGACGGATGTTAGAGGGGAGGGGGTTGGGTGAAAAAATTGAAGGGATTAAGCAAGTACAAACCCCACAAACAAACCAATGCCATCTTGAATCAAGTCTCTTTGAAAGAAGAGTTAACAGTACTTAAGGCTTTGGCATTCATGAGCTAGTAGAGTGTAACTGGAGAAGGAAATGAATTTGGGGGTTATAATGCCCAGATCTAATTACTGTTGTACCATTTATTAACTGTGTGACTTTGCGTAAGTCTCAGTGTCCTCATTTATAAAGTGGGAATTTCATAGGGTTGTTGTGAAAATTAAATAAAACGATGCATCTAAAGTGCTTAATGGGGACCCTGACACTTAAATTCAGATGTATTTTCCTTGATTTAATTAACTACCCCTCCCCCCACTGATGGACACTTGGGTTGTTTCTAATTTTTCACTATAATAAGTACGTCATACATTCTTTTAGCATCTTGTACTTGCAACAAATACGCTTATTATGTCTAGTTAACTCACCAAATAATAAAGATACCACTCATATCAGTAGGCAGCTGCAATCGAATTCCTGGGATGTCATCATAAAATATTGGCAGTCATTATAAGAATGCGTTTGGGGATTATGCAGCTGTCAACTTAACATGTGGGAGATGCGAATCAGGAATCCACACTGTGATCAAATAGGAGAAACACAGCCCGTGCCACAAGGAAACTTATGTGTAAGAAGGGGATTAAGAAGTGTTTTTGAAGGGATAAACTACGAAGTGTAGTAAAGAGAGAGACTCAGCCCAATAAAATGTGAAAGCAAGACTCTGATATCAAGAAAAGCCTAACTCTGCATTCTGAAACAGCAAGGAACATTCCTGGGATCCTCACGGGGCTTGGATGTTTCCAACTCCTCCTCTCTGAATGTTTGGAGGCAAAAGATATCACAATATAATCAACATTCAATCCCTCCTTCCTTTCCAAAAGCAAAAACAAATATTGCAAAAATGATTCTCCTTCCATAAAATGGAAATAGTTTGTAAGAGGCTTCACTCTTGCATTCATGAGACTGGTATGGGGGAAATTATGTAAATCAGTTCAACTGCAGCAAAGAGCCATCAGTCTCTTTCATCATGTACATGCTTTTATCTTCAGGGTCTAAAAGATGATCTAAGTATAGGGACGACCATGATTTATTATATACATACAGACAATAAACATACTAACTGTTCAAGGTTCTAATCTGTTCTCCAAATAGGACTGACAGGTCTTCTACTTTGTAACGCTGTGTTCATCACTAGTTCATATCACTAAATGTATCTGACTATAACAAGAGTATATTTCTTTAAAAAAATCCTATCATTCTTTCATTTTAATAGTTAACCTGGAAGAATAACTAAATGATATATATGAAAGCATAAAAGATTTATTTTTCATAACCATTGGGCAGGTCCTACAATTCAAACAAGTTGTCAAAGAACCAGACAACATTTTCTTTGAAGATAAAATGATTTTTTAAAACTTCTGCTTAGTCAGGGGATGTATCATATATACAGATGTGTATAAATATAAATGTACAGTTTAAATAATAATTAGGAAGCCAACTCCCACATATCCAACAGCAATAGGAGGTTCAGATGTAGACTATTGCTAGTACCAAGAAGTCCCCTATATACCTCCCTCCCCTTCACCCCAGGTCATCCCTGGTCAGATTTTACAGTAATCAATTCACTGTTTTTCTTTGCAGTTTTACCACTAAGAGTATCGTTTTGTTTTTCCTGCTTTGGAATTCACATAGATGGAATCATGCTGTAGGTATACTTTCTTGCCTTATTTATTTCATTCATCAATGCTTCCTGAAATTCATCCTGTTGAGGCAGGTGGCTGGAGTTCACTCATTTTGATCGCTATACATTGTTTTCTGGTATGAATATACCAGTTTATTTACCCAATTGAACTGTGGATGGAAATTTGAATTGTTTCTAGCTTGGTACTATTAGGAACAATGTCTTTGAAAAATTTTGTTTTTATCTTCTTACCTATGTACAGGCACAAGAATCTTTCTAAGACAGTGGTTCCTAAAATGAGGTCCTAGGACCAAGAGCACCAGTATTACCTAGGAACTTGTTGGAGATGCAAATTTTATGTTCCCATCCCAGACCTACTGAGACAGGAATTTTGGGGTGGCGCCTAGCCGTGTGTGTTCACCAAGCCCTCCAGGGAATTCTGCTTTACACTAAAGCCTGAGAACCAGAGTCCTAGGGTATATGTGTAGAAGTTGCATGGCCAGGCCAGTGTGCATGCAATCCTAGGCTTTAGTAGGTAACACTGAGCTGTTTTCCAAGTTGTTTTGCTAACTTCTATTCCCACGAGTAAGAGAGCTTACATGGCCTTACAAGGATCATATGGACTTCAAAGTCTAAAACTCCAATCAATTTCTTGAAGCCTCCTTATCACAAAAATGTGATCTTTGTGAATACTGGCTTACGATTTTTTGTGGTCATTGATAATCCTCACCCGAGGATATTTTTCCATTGATTTTTAGATAGAGTGGAAGGGAGAGAGACACACAGAGAGAAACATCGATGTGAGAGACACATTGGTTGGTTGCCTCCCGCATGTGCCCTAACTTGGGGCCGGCGATTGTGCCTGCAACGGAGGTGTGTGCTCTTGACGGGAATCGAACCTGGGACCCTTCAGCCCATGGGCCAGTGCTCTATCCACTGAGTCAAATCAGCCAGGGTCTGGCTTACAATTTTTTTTAAAAGCTTAACTATTTACAACAAATATTATCTTTTAATTAGAGCTGAATGTTATTAAAAGGAACTAAATGAAATGATGGGTGATGTGCGATAATGTGAAATGATGCATTGCGTTAGCACGCCACTTCCTCAGTTAAAATCCTCAGGAAAGTGACCGGCGCTGGGAAATGAAACCGCTCATGTCTTCTCTTTTCCCTTGTGATCAATCAGCAGTTTGTTTATTGAGTCTTCAGTTTGGGAAGAGTGTCTTTTATTCCCACAGATCACAGAAGACCTGCCCAAGGGACTGCTGCACTACATGTAACCATGCGGAGCAGTTTATGTTCAACCAGTTCCTTGGACGACAATATGTGTAATAAGTGCCATCCCGTATTTTACAGAAGTTTCAGCTTCCTGATGCTCAATACTGCACAGCCATATTTTACAGTGACGAGGAGCACATGCTTGCTAACTGCTCCCCAGGTGTGCACTATCTTACAGACATCAGTGACCTGTATGTAGGACTTGGGTCACACGTTCTGACCAGAGTTGTCTTGGAACAAGTACTTGGGGATTGGACTTTATGCAGCCTCCTTTCAGGAGACCATGCCCCATAGACATACATGACACAATAGTAGATGCGAGACAGCAAGCCTTCCATATACTAGTGACCCCAAAGCAAAGGAACCATCGGTGTGGAGTGTGGTTAATCTGGGAGTCCTGTTGGGGGGGCGGGGGGGCAATCCCAGGGTTTTCAGGAGGGTTGAGACAAGGAAGCTCCAGATTTCTCCTCTAGGACATGCTTTTCATGAACTCACTCATTCACCATCAGGTGGAGTTCCATCTTAAGGCTTGTTTCTCTAGCCCAGTGGTTCTCAACCTTCTGGCCCTTTCAATACAGTTCCTCATGTTGTGACCCAACCATAAAATGATTTTCGTTGCTACTTCCTAACTGTCATGTTGCTACTGTTAGGAATCGTCATGTAAATATCTGATGTGCAGGATGGTCTTAGGCGACCCCTGTGACAGGGTCGTTCGACCGCCAAAGGGGTCGCGACCCACAGGTTGAGAACCGCTGTTCTAGCTAGACTAGAAGCTCTCTGAAGGCAGAGCCATGTCCTAGGCTTTTGTTTCCCTCCAAGAGAATAGCACAGTGGGGGGGGGGGCAGAGCATGAGGATCTGTCAGCGCCCTCCATGGCCAGAAATCGGATAGAGGTTTTGGGTGGGTTCTGAGAGAACCCGGGAGCAATAAAGTACACAACTCCTCATTTTAAGGTGATCAGATTCAGAGTGGCGGTTATAAAACACTATTTCTATACTACATTGATTCTAGAGATATAATAATAAAGATATTGCTCAAGGAAAGATTCATTTTGGGTGATGGGAGAATAAGGGTCACTTTGGGGGAATAGATATTGTCTGAAAAGGGGCATGAAGGAAGCAGGGTTCTATATCTTGACCTGATTGGTGGTTACATGATGTATACATAGTAAGAACCCACTTAATTGTACTTGTATACATTCATATTTATGCACATTATTCTCTCTCTCTCTCTCTCTCTATATATATATACACATATATATATATACAAAATATCAAAAGACTATCATCTTAACAGAATG